GCTCTGAGGCAGTGGTGAAAACATTGAACCACGTTTTCATGACAATGATTGAGAAGCCGCTCACTTGGTTCATTCCGGAGTGGGCGGAACAGGGCCGGCAGGAGCTCAAAGGCAGCAAGATGTTTGGCATTAAGCTGCCACCAGTTGACGATACCCCGTTGTTACGCACAGTTCCCAGATTGCATCCAGCGTAGCTATGTTATGTGCGTTCCCGGCGGTCTAACCACTATCGTGCGATGAGAGCCTGCAGGTATCGGACGAGGAGTCGTCCCAAACGAAGGCTTTCCATTTTCTTTTCTCCCACGTGGGCTGCAGAGGGCTGACGCAGCCTGAGATTTCGCATCCCAAGTGGAATTCCTTCAAAAGGGCAACGGCCAGCAGCAACCTGGACTTTGACATACTGCGCTTGACTGTGTGCGCCAATTACTCACACGGACCGTGGACCAATGGGGACCGGTTGGTGCTCAAGCAGCAGCTGTTGGAGAACTTCCTGAGCAAGCAATCTGAGGACTGGTTCAGTGACATTGGGGAAGAGATTGCCCAAGACCTGGGAGCATCAGATCTTTCGGCCGAGCAAGCCCGCAGCTCCATGCATGACTTCTTGGACAGCGAAGCTTTGCGGAATCGAGGTGTCTTTGTCAAGTCGAAAGCCTGGTTCGGCATCATTGCTGCACTGCGAAACTTGGTCAAGCACTGGACAATCCAGCGGGAAGCCGCGACAGCGATCATGCAGGAGACGGGCGGAGCTGCTGACCAGCAGGATGCCAGGAATGACGACGAGGAGAATGAAGAGGATGGCGCTGGCAACCAGCAAGCCCCGAAGAAATGGACGAAGGCGGACCTCTACAAAGCGTATAGTGGTCGTGGACCTCATGCGATGAATGCTGACTTCTTGAATGACCCGAGCTTGCGCAGCAAAGCTGTGCTAATCATCCACGTGACGGCCCCTTTGCGTCTTGATTGGCACTGGGAACCCATCTGTGTTGACGGGGGCAGGGTGTGCTTGTGCTTTGTTGATAAGTTCTAGGTACTCGGTTGGTGGGAAGGAATCGGGAGTCATGTTTCTTCGAATGATGTATATGGTTGGGGAGAAGGTCATAGTTTCCGTGAAAGCATATTATTCGTGTCGGGTCTATTGCTGAGGCACGCGGCATACGCGGAGGATTTGGCTGCGCAACAAGGCGAGCCAGCGCAACAGTTGGAATGGATAGCCAGATGTGCTTCCGGACGTTCTTTGGGTGTGGTGACCAGCATCCTGAGGAGTGTGGCTTCGACGCATCTTTATCGTGAAATGCGCCTGGCTCCTCCCTGCACGCCGCCCCTGGATGCTGACAACACCTACCTTGCAGAGGATGTCATGCTGATCCGAACGGCTTTCGACTTTGCTGCCCACCTGGCTTCGAACGTGCTGTGGGGCCAGCTCCTTTACCAGTACACTTTGCCTTTGGCGGGCGCATCACTCTTGGCACCAGCAGAGGATAGTTGGTGAAGTTCCCCATGCACTTAGGTAATGGTTATGGTATTCATGTTACAGTTTGCTCTAGGCATTAGTCAGTGCTGGAGGTCCACCCCCCCAGAGCACCAACCAGGATCAACGCAGGCGGGCCATGCATCATTTGCAGAGAATGGTTTCGGTTGTGGTGGACGCAGAAGACAGTGTTGCGGAGGGTGATTCTCCATTGGAAGACGTTCTACAAACATTGGCGTGGCCAGCCGAGACCCTAGCCAGAGAAGTGATGGTTAGACTTCATCGATCTCGGTACGATGCTGAAACAGATGAAGGGTTCGAGCTACGACGGTTGTTGCTGCGTACCTTCCTGGGCAGCAGCAGTACGAAGGAAGTGCTCGAGAGCACATTCAGCCACCTGCACGACGTCTCCGCCCGCCATGCCAAGAACGCCAAGATGTGTATGCGCGGGGTTTGGTTTTACTCTGTGGCATCACCGTATGCGACCCGGGCAACATGTGGCATGGCGCAGTGCAAACCAAGTCATGCTGAATGGGTGAAGTGGCGCGGGTTCTACGGGAGTGCCCGGGACCACTTCATGAAGCGGTTCAACAAGGCCTTCAACGTGAATGCCACCGAGCTTCCTCGCGGACGTGAACTACCCATCAGTCCGAAGGGCGTGACAAAAACGAAGTGGCGATTGGCAGGGCCTCTGAGCCATTACCGCAGCTCTGCAGCCATGCTGTACCTACTGGAGGATTCTGGCAGGAACTTTGCAAACTGCCACTTGGCTTGGGCCGCCGCATTCCTGAGATGTGGGCAGTTCTACTGGCACAAGGAGATGTTCATTGAAGTGCAGTGTCGTGCATAGTGTGGAGTTGTGATACAACAAAATTCTCCGGTTGTCCCTTGTTGGTTTGTTTTGGTGTTACAGTTCCCCGGTCCAGGAATTGATTGACTGACTGAACTGAACCGTGCAAACGAATGCCAGTGAAATCTTGCAGGATCAGCAGACCTTCATGCTGTGCTTGGGCTTCAATGGCTGGTGCGCTCTTGGCATTGACATTATGCCTGAGGAAGTGAATGGCCGTGAGTTTTTGACTCTGAGCAGTCGCCACCTCATGAATGGGATGCGTGTGATGTTCAATTTCGACTGTGCTCGCGACTCTTGTTGTTGGGCACATGTTGCCGTGCAAGTGCTGCCCCCTGCATGCTTGCCTCCAGAGCTAGTTCATTGTGGCATTGCTTTCGAAGTCCTGGACAAAGATGGTTGGATCCTGAAAGATGCCTTGGCAAGTGGAATGCAGCTGACGGTGGAAAGGCTCAGACAGGCATGTCAGTCCGTCGGCGCAGAACTGCTCCCAAAAGGGGCAGGATCCGGCAAATCCGGCAACATGGTCAAGGTTGATTGGGTTTCGTGCCTGGTCGCCAAAGTCTTTGAGTCCGAAACTGCAGAAGAACGGGCGGCAATCGAAGACAAACTCATGGGTAGACACCAGAAGCCTGTTGATGTTTCTGTGTTGGCAGCTATTTCAGAGCTCGATTCCAACAATGCGGAGGCGTTCAAGGACATGAAAAAGCGTGCTCAGCAGATGTTTGAAAGTGCCGTTTACGGACAAGGTGTCAAGCAAGGCTTGGGACGTATGTTGGATGAGGAGCCAGATGAAGAAAAACGCGAGGCAAACTATCGCAAGGCAGCTGAGAATGCCGACAAGGAGGTGGCGAAGAAGGCAGAAGCGGATCGCCGGCATGCTGAGCGGCAATTTCAGCTCACCCCGCCCGATCTCAAAAGCCTCCTTCCAGGACAGGGTGAGTTCGCTGGAGTTTGCTGGGCGAGGTATAATCCGTTCCAGAAGTGGTTCTCTGTGCAGTATCCTGTGAGTCACTCTCCAGCATGGGTTTGGTTCAGTAATTAATTTGTGTTGCCTGTGTCTCGACGAAACGAAACTAGTCTGGTCCGAATTCGTTGGCTGTGTTTTCGTCCTCAAGTCAATGCTCAGGTGATGTGGAGCTACAGGACTCAATGCAACGCAAGTGGGAGACCGCCCGCTGTCCTAACCGGATCGACGCTCTGCGATGTGTTCTTGAGTTTGCCTACAACCGGTGGAACACCCTCAATCCCACGTGCCAGTTCACGATGCCCACCGATGCAGAGCTGCAGCGCTACTTGGACACGCTCTGAGAAAGATGCTGAGCTGCAGCGCCTGATGCCATGATGCTACAGCTGTGCGTAGACGCGTGTTGTTTTTCCTATGCACGGCGCATCCTTTCCGAGGGGGCCACCGCCTCATTCAGGTGGCACATGTCCGAGTGCATACCACGGGATTTCTGCTCCGGACGTCTGAATTTGGATTTGCCACATGCTGCAAGTGTGAAAAAGTGCCTTCAAAGCAGCGTGGAAGCCTTAAATAAGCCAATCCCGGGAAATCAGCTGAAATTTGACTAGACCTGCCGCTGCCGGAAATAAGCACCACTGAGTGCTATTCAACGACTGAATAGTCGTTGGTTGGGCTGGAGTCATGTGGGGGGGGGAGTAGTGCCTGGGTCAGCAGGCAATCTCATGAAAAGACAGTCAGCACCCAGGGACTCGAATTGAAATATCTTTTCCTAACTCTTGTCGTGTAGTGTTCAGAGGGGTATGGACCCTAAACCCGAAACGCCTAAACCCTAAGGACTTTAGGAGGGACCCTCATAGGGACCCTTAATCTCATTACCTTACATAACCATTGTATAGTCCTTATACACCCCTTATATAGCCAGGTAGTCTCTATATTAACCCCAATCACCTACAAGGGTCCCTGTTCAGGGTCTAAAGCCCTTAGATAAACCCAGTTTCCGGCTAAGTTCGCCCCAGAGTCTAAATCCTAGACACTTCCAAGCTGAAATCCTAAACCCTAAACCCTAAACCCTAAACTGAAATCGCATCGACTCGGAACGGATCAGCCGAGGTCGCTTCCACGGAGGAGCTAGCAAGCAGACAGAACTTCTATCGACAGCTCCTCATGCGCCCAGAGGCCTGCCAGGGCAGCGAGGTGTCTAACGAGTCGTGAACCAGGGTTTAGGGTTTAGGGGTTTAGAGTTTAGGGGTTTAGGGGTTTGGGTTTAGGGTTACTCATGAGCCCTATAAGCCCCCAAACCAGAAACTCTGCCGCCCCAGCTCAAAGCCTCCATCCAGTGATTCAGGTTTTGCCCCGCTACCTGACTGAACTCCCTCCAGTGCAGGGATTTGCTTCCCTGTGTTTCAGGTTTCGGGATAGGGAGGTGTGTAGGGTTTAGGGGGATTGGGTTTAGGGGTTTAGGGTCTAGGGTCGCGCAGTGAAGGATGTAGACCCCAGCGCCCCGCAACCACCAACTCGGAACCCAAGGTACTGAAAAGGTGGCGTGGGCGTGGCCCTAATAACCTCCTGTCCTATACCTCCGAAACTGAAGCCTTAAACCCTAAAACCTTAAATCTAGGACATTTTCAGGTGACTAGTTACGGTTATTACGATTATAGGAGCCTTATAGAAGGTCTATATACCTTATGGAAGCCTTATAGAAGCACTATATACCCTAAACTCCCCACCCGTGGTTTCCTTAAACTAAACCCCAGGGCAATTACCTCCCCAAACGCTGCAGCGCTGTCGGAGGAGTTTGGGGAAGATCCAGATTTCTTCGCCCTCCTGGCACAGGGCCCAGAGTCTGTCGATAGATCGGCGCAGAGTCTCAGAGTTTCGGGCCCGAAGTAAAGGGGTTTAGGGTTTAGGGCTTAAAGCCCCACTATAGGGGTCAAAAGCATGAGAACAGAGTTTTAGGGGGGAGGAGTTGTATTTTTGCCGGTATATTCTACCAGAACTACAAGGTGACCCCTTCAGGAAGAGTGTCGGTAGTTCTTCAAGCTTCGCTCTTGGATTTCTTCTTAGGCCCTCAGCCCAGAATCCCTCCTCTGAAAACTCAGCCCCTAAAAGCCTTGACACGAAGCCTCCACTCTCCCTACAGCTAGACACCCGCAACGAAACAGAAAGCTCTAAAGCCTCAATTACGGTTTAGGGTTTAGGGTCAAGCCCGTCCTTAAATCCTAAGCCTTATGATTCAGAAGCTCTGAATCTGCAAAAGCAAGTCCTAGTTCAAATCCCTGTTGGGCCCTCAAAGCATGAGCCCTTGCATCCCAGAACCCTGAAGTAACGTCGCCGCATAGCCCTAAACCCCAGAACCGTTTGAGGGCTTTGGGTTTACCCATGGGCCCTAAAGTAGTTCCGTTTTGGGGTTCATATATAGAATCCTATATGAACCCCAAAACGGAACTACTTTAGGGCCTATGGGTAGGGCATTGGGTTCAGGGAACGCCTTGGTTTGCTGTGTTCTGCCGAGGCCCTCCTCTGTGATCGGCTGGAAGAGCTTTCAGGCGGCCGGAGAGAGACTCCAAAACCCCTTAAGTAAGGAATAGACCTTTAATTATAGTAGGATCCCTAATATGTTATTATGATAGGATCCCTAATATGAGTTATAGGTATCTTCCTTAAATAAGGGGTTTTGGAGCCTCTTGGGGGGAGAGAGTGGATGTTTCTGCGAGAGGTTGTATTATGGGGTTGATTGAGAAGGGCTGCAATGGCGGGGCTCTAGAAGGGTTTCACTAAAACGGGTTTAGTAAAAGCATCACTTCTGGGGTTTGAACATGGGTTCTAAAGGGAGGCGGCTGCCACGCCCGCCATGCAAGGCTGGGCAACCTGTTCGCTTTCTTCTTACAACCTAGTACTATTCTGAAAGCATCGCTTTTCCTTTTTGGCTTTTGAAACGGCTTCCTACTCAAAATACACCAGGCCCGGCGAGCACCAGACACGCTCAGCGCAAAGCCCAAGACCCTAAAGTGAAAACCCCAAACGCAAAGCCAAAACCTTCAACCCTACCACTCAAACGGAAATCAAGACAGCGCAACCCTGTTACAGAGTCTCCGACGTTCTCGGGTTGAGGATGCTTTCTTTAAGTAAGAGTCTTCGGGGCTGCTTCGGAAAAGGTTAGGACATGTTAGGATACAGAACTGCAGTTTCTGGGTCTAATGTTTTATACAACGGTCTGAAGAATTAGTAAGAGGCCCGACTCGTGCTAACTATTCAGGCTTGGCTCTTTTAGGCAGTAAAGGTTTGGAATTAGCGTAGGAAGCTGGCGAGTAGGGTGTGTTCTGTCTGAGCTGGGCAGAGCGGTGCTAGCTAGAACGCAAGGTCGCTAAGCCGCAGACTCATCAAGCCATGCGTCTCGTCCCCCCCCAAGGAAAGGCTTAAGCAACTGTTAAGCCTTCTGATGACTCGATGCCTTAATGACCTATAAGCCCTAAACCCTCTGAGCCTTAAGTCCTAAACCCTTTACTCCACGTCCTAAACCAGAAGCTTGCTTCGATTCCTTGAGCCCCTCGGCATTTGTCAGTCAACTTTTTGGCTCATCGGTGCTTGCTCTGGGGCGAAAGCCACTCACACAAGACAATCTAGGACATTTTCAGGTGGGTAGTTACCGTTATAGGAGCCTTATAGAAGGTCTATATACCTTATAGAAGCCTTACAGAAGCCCCATATACCCTAAACTCCCCACCTGTAGTTTCCTTTAAAAAAAGGCCGAACGAACCTGGGACCTAAGTTTCTCGAAGCCCGAAGCCCCAAAGCCCCTAAACCCTAAACCCTGAGCCCTGAACCCTAAACCCGTACCTCCACGGCAGATGGCTCTAAAGTTCAGGGGCTCAGAAGCGAGTGATTTTGGATTCCCATCTTTGCAGATTTCCCCAAAGCTGGCATGATCCGAGGTCGGATTCTCCGCCTAAACCCTAAACCCTAAACCCTAAACCCTAAACCCTAAACCCTTGCATTCCGTCAGGGCTTCAGACATCAGGGTCTTGGGCACTGGGCTTTGTACCCAGAGACTCCAATACCCCTTAAATACGGAATATATTCGGAATATACTTTCAATCATATTAGGGATCCTACTATAATTTAAGGTATGTTCCTTAATTAAGGGGTCTTGGGCACTGGGCTTTGTAGACTGGGTGTCCCGCCGTTTTGGGGATCTCTTTGTTGAGACTCCTTCGGCTTTGGGTTTAGGGTTTAGGGTTTAGGGTTTAGGTCTATCTTGGACTCCCTTATCTTCCGAAGCTCACATTTCCGTGCGATGCTTGTGGTGGAGGTCGGGCTAATCAGTGGCAGGACGGTTGCTTTGGACGCTGGGTTGGATGAAGAGGTGGAGACATTGAGGCAAAGAGCTCAGACTGCACTGGGCGTCGGCAAGGGGCGGCTATTGGATTCATTCGGACGTGTTCTGGATGGACGTGCCTCTATCGAGAAAGCCAAGGTGCAACATGGTGACGCCTTGACTTTGCACATCAGCAGAACTCAAGTTGCATGCAGCTCCAAAGCATTTGCTGCCATTGTTGGCGATGGATCTGTCGTGACCTGGGGGAGTCCAACTGCTGGTGGTGACAGCACTGATGCGCAGGATCAGCTGAGGAATGTGCAGCAGATTCAAGCCTCAAGCAAGGCCTTTGCTGCCATTCTTGGAGATGGATCTGTCGCGACCTGGGGCGATCCTATCTGTGGAGGTGACAGCACTGCTGTGCAGGAGCAGCTGCAGGATGTGCAGCAGATTCAAGCCTCTGACTGTGCCTTTGCTGCCATAATTGGCGATGGATCAGTCGTGACCTGGGGGAGTCATAGACATGGTGGTTGCAGCATAGCTGTGCAGGATCAGCTGAAAGATGTGCAACAGATTCAAGCTTGCAGCAAAGCCTTTGCTGCCATTGTTGGCGATGGATCTGTGGTGACCTGGGGCGATCCCATCTGCACTTATAGCAGCGAAAGCACTGATGTGTGGGACCAGCTGAAGAATGTACGCCTGATTCAAGCCTCCAGCAAGGCCTTTGCTGCCATTCTGGGCGACGGATCAGTCGTGACCTGGGGCGATCCTGGGCATAGGTACGTCGGCTATGGTAGTGACAGCACTGCGGTGAAGGACCAGCTTAAGAACGTCCACCACATTCAAGCTTCCAGCAAGGCATTTGCTGCCATTGTTGGCGGCGGGTATGTCGTGACTTGGGGTGATACCCGATGTGGCGGTGACAGCACTGCTGTGCTGGACCAGCTGCAGGACGTGCAGCAGATTCAAGCCTCTGACTGTGCGTTTGCTGCTATTGTTGGCGATGGTTCTGTCGTGACCTGGGGGAGT